AAGTGTACTATCTTGAGATCCGCAGGGTTGACTCCCGAGTAGACGACATCAATGAGAATCTCGTCGTCTCGTGCTGTGACTGGAGGGAGGTCATGTCGAGTAACGACTTGTCCATCACTTCCGACGAAAAGAGCAGCACCTGTCATGGTTAAAAGTGAGTGTAAGGCGCAAAATATCAATGGAAACGCGAAATGATTGTTTGGTAAAACATTCAACGTACTAAAAACTCTCGCGCAAGTGTTATTTATCTAATCTTCAAAGGTGCAGGTGAAGATACTTAGTTTCAGCAACAGGATTGCTCAAAGTCCGCCAAGTCCGCCTCTCGGCAGTCATGCTACATGCAGTGTCACAATTGCGTTCAGCTGTGACTGCCACAGCCACATTTTGGCTTCACTGAGAGGGACTTCAGTTGAAAGTCCGCAAAACCTGTCGGACTTTGTCAAATACTACGGACTTGAATCTGAGCTATGGAGCTAGGATGTCTATGTTTACAACCTACACAGGTATGACCTTGCGACACGGAGAGGTTTCTGCAAATAGAATTCTAAGCCCAGAGAGCGACTGAGAGAAGCAGCAATCTCTCAATAATGTTTCAATACATGATACATTCATTGATATCTACCTATCAATAACTGAGTAGTCATCGAAACATTACTTGCGACAGGGTTGGTGCAAGTTGATGGTGGCTGATTTAGCATAGGTACCTTTCGCGGGGACCGCATCGAACATGGGATTAATGGCTGGTGGAAAAGCCTCGTGTAGTCGCCAACATCTTGGCCGGTGCCGACTGACGCGCATCCCTCCGGACGACCATATCTAGACTTTGATATCCATCCTCTCAGATGCCACCAATCTCGTTCAGAAGCGGTTCGTCGAAGAGGGTCTATCAGCCGTGGAGCGGAGGTTGATCTTCCGGAATGTCATCTCCAATTCCATTATTCTCATTCCACTCATCGGGAGCCTCAAACGTCTCATCCGAGATCCAGTTTCTCGAATGAGGAGGTCGAATAGGTTGACGATCATTAGGCAACCAGTACGCCTTGCGATAGCCATTGAGAAGGTTCATGCCCTCCTCCTTGACATCGCTCCACTCGCACATGTCCCAGTGCCAGACGGCGAGGTCGATCCACTGGATGCTGTTATCGCACTGGTGCTTCTTGCACTCGTCCAAAGCTTTGCCGAAGCTGATCCAGTCCGGCGTGTGTGCGGCGGTTTTCGCGCACCATTCGCCGGCGAGCTTTGGGAGCGTGGCGCCTTTGATGCGCCATTGGGTCTCTCCAATGCAGTATTGGATGCAAGTGGGGAGTCTGTCGATTCTGACGTGGCGTGCGCTGGTACGTTTGGGGGGTTTGGCGAAGACTGCCATGGGGGCGAGAAGAATAGCGAGGGTAGTTGACAGCTTCATGCTTGCGGTTGCGTGGGTGTACGTAGCTGTGTATGTGAATGAATGGATGGCTGTGAGTAGATTCTCTTGATACGTTAGTTATACCCCTGACAGGATGGAAAGGAGTATATGTACCTTGTCCAATGTGGTGCAATGGGTGAAAGCCAAGACCAGTGTGGTATGAGGGAGATGAGAATGAGATGAAGCATGGGTGGGAAGAGAGCTCCAATGTTATACCAATGCTCAGATTATCTCCGGTAGCATGGGAAGGAAGTTCAAGGAAGCAGAGTAATTAGGTTGAAGATTTCAGGGAGTGGGCACGCTGGACATCGTAAATTCGAAGGCGTTGCGTTTCGGAGATACCCTGAGTGGGGGACCATACCTGACAATGGTTTGATTAGAAGCTTGGGTTCTTTGATAGGCATTCTTCGATAGATATCAAGGTGTCTACCTCGCGGACTAAGGTAAGTAGATATAGCATTTACGTGCAGGAAAATAGGAAACGGGGTGGTAAAGAGCTATCAACAGCTGTCATATTGATGAATGCGGCAGTAATTGAGTCCTTGTATCAATGGCGCTCCTGGATAGACTGGCCTGAATTCTGTTGAACGCGTAATATGTTCATATTATCAAACTTCCCGTAACCGCTGTGTCGGAGAGTAGAGCAGAATACAGGCTGTTGGTGACATGGAAAATCAAGCCTCCAACGGCACTGGACCTTATTTCCCTGCACAAGCCTCAAAACACACACCCTTGAACGTTTTGTGGCTCTTGTCATCAGTAGCCACCGCCGAGCAACAAGTCTTGTCTCTTCTCGCACACTTCTTCCCCTTGCTATTCTGGCAATCTTTATCAGAATTGCACATATCCTGACAATACTGCCCATCGAACGCACCGCAAAACGGGTCGCCTTCAACAGGCTCCATACAGTCGCACAATTCGTCTTCGCCAGCACCGCAGCTTGATCCGCTGACGATGGGGTCTTGACAGCTTTCGAGAAGGGAAACGCCTGCTTTGCAGGTGTGTGGTTCGAGGCAGTGGCCTGAGTGGCAGTTGAAGGTTTCAGGGCACTATTGTCGTAGTCAGTCGAACCGTCTTGTACTATGGGTAATGGACCGTGTTGGTCAAGAGCCTCACCATGTTTCCGCATTTGCTGCAGTTCACGGGATCGCTCTGAAATGTGTCATTGGGTAGGCACTCGGAGTTGCAGCACGTCGTGCCCTTGCCGCACTAGTAAAGTCCAATTAGCCTTCAATACTAAACCGTGATACTTGCATCTACAAGATGGGCTTTATGTCGAGGGTGACTTGCCTTGGTACCGCACTTTCCGCAATTTTTGCCATCACTCTGCAACTGCGTCGTGCTCATACACTTGGAATCGCAACAAGCTTGACCTTCGTCACACTAAAGAAAATGAGTAAATGATTGGGAACGTCGATTTTAGAGGAGAAGATGCAACAGAATATCCACGTACCCTGACGCCGCATTTGCCACAATTGTTGACATCGGCCTGAAAGTTGTTCTCGGGGACGCACTTCGAAGTACAACAGCTTTCCTTTTCGCCGCACTTTAGTGTTCAACATGTCAGTCCAAATACCGCATATCTGGCTACAAGGTAAAAAGGATGTATGCAAGTTATGTAGACAATAACACCTACCTTGTTCCCACACTTCCCACAATTATTGACGTCAGTGGACGTATCGATACACTCGGCCGTCTCCCGAGTCTTGCAAAACATCTTGGGCTTCTCGCATGTCTGGCAGAGCGTATCACAGTTCGGGAAGACGAGTTTGAGCGGTAGACAGAGTACTGAGCAAAGGGCAGGAAGCTCGTCGGTGGATATGGTGTCTTGAGAGAGCTCTTGAGCATCTGGAAAGTGTATCAGTTTTTGTCCAATTGAGGATATTGCGCAGGACTTACAGCTCACCGTCCTGGCGATGAGAAGACAGAGTGCTGTGGATTTGGGGATTCTCATTTTCACTGCTGCAAGCTGGCGACCTGGCAGTATCTTCACTATCCTGGCCCTTTCTAGTGAGGGAAGGTACGTAGGTATCGGTCAATGGCATTGGAGACTGGTTGAATAATACATCTGCACACCTTATATAACCGACATACTTGCGCAACTCTTAGCGTTCTGACCGACTTTTCCTTTGTGGCGTCAGGTATTACACCGTGAAACAGATTCGTAAGTGCAATGTTGACCATGAAATAAGTTGCACCGTACTCTGGAAACCATCTACCTTGAGCAACGCATCCGGAAGGCGCAACTAAGCTCTGTTGCGATGCTTTACTGGGCAAGCGACAAATGTCTCGACGCTCGTCGAACCCAGGAGCTTCAGCAATGATCAGTGGCCAATAGAGACGAGTTGTACCAGTCAACAAGTATCACATGAACTGGCCAATAGTCTCAGATAATGTTACTCAATCAATAACCTGGGCCGATCCTTGGCTTGGACGGTTGAACCAAAGCCAATGGCTCACAAGCTTCATACCCCATCGGCAATCTTGCAATATAACAAGACCTACATCAAAGACTTGTTGACAGATAAGGTGTGGCAACACAATGGAACCAAGCATGTAGATCTATAGCTCAATCTGTTTTCCCTCCTGCTGGATTTCAGCTGATCGCCTAATCTTGGCAAAGCCGTTTTACAACCTTTTGATCTGGCCGTTGGTCAGCTTCGCCAAGGCCAAGAATATCCCAAGAGCACCAAGCCTTGGATAAAGTCACAGGTGGAGAGGAGGGCGTCGGCGCAGCAAAGGACCCCTCAAAGCAGCTCCGGTCTGGTCCTTTGAGAGATCCTTCATCTTCTGATCGAGTTGCGACTCGGTGGATACTCGTCTCTGCTGCTTTATGTATGATGACGGCGCTGCGGCCAAGCGTCAAAGGCAAGGTATACATTCTGCATGCCTCCAACCCCGCAGGACCGGCAGACAGACGCTTGGGAATGGGGTTAATTCCATCATCCAAGACGTGGGTACATGCATAGTGCCGTAATACAAGCTCATGGGAGGTGGGAGGATAAGCAAAGGTCAAGCTTCGCGTGGACCATTCCGGGAACGAGGAAAGGGTAAGACGGGCAAACGGATAGCTAGAGGCTTAGGTCGTGACTGCAGTACCGACTATCATCGCAAGCGAGTTGCTGCTGTAGTGACCACCCTCAAAGTGTGTTTGTGATGGGCGAGCATGCTGCCACCCACCGGCTAGGTGTCTCATCCCAGCTATGTTGCTACAAACGTGCGAGCAACGTGTTGTTTTCTCCAAGAGAAAAGTGACTTACGCTAATAGCGCCGTAGGGGAAAATCGAAAATTAGAGTCTAACATAGGCCGTTCCGAGGGGTTGGTTCGGGACGATGGCCGGTGGCGCGAGATGACGGCATGGAGAGTGTCAGTGAGCATGATTTGGATTCTCTACGAAGCTATACACGAACCCGATCTGTGGTTTCGACAACACCAGGGACTACGGCGACGGCTTGGCGAAATAGTTTCGTTGCCAAGAGCATGCGAGGAAGAACTAGTGGTGTTCTGGCCTGAGCGAGCGTGGAACGAGAGAACCGAGGGGCTCAAAGGGGGGGGGGGGGGGGCGGAAGGGCGCTCTGGGTTGAACCTCCTACGTCACTTGGCCCGGTCCACACCATCTTGCGCGGTCGCGAGAAGCCAAGCGCTTGGCGACCCCACCGAGAAGATTGTGACCGTGTCAGACCACACAATGTTGCACTTGGTGAACAAGAATGACAACAATTGGAAACTTGAGCTCGGCGTTGGGGAGGACGTCGGTTTGAAGCAGTTCGGATGAGGAAGGGGGAGTACACTAGCCGCCGGGAGCGATAATTCGATCTCGGATGCCTCGTGCGCATATACGGGCGCCGAGCGCGGGGTGATGGGCGACAGACAGCACAGATGAGGAAAACCGACAGAAGGGACCAGCATTGCGCTTGGATCGTCGACGCAACCCCTCCATGTGTGCGATGTAATGTCTCTCGTCCCCTCGTTCTGGTCTGTGTGTGATGGGTGGTTTGGTAGTGCGAGCTGCGATCCTGTGTCCTCGGGTTGCGGGCTGCAGGCTTCGGGGCCGTGAGTGGTCAATTGACGGCGATGTGGGATGATGGGGTTAAGGGGGATTTTCTGGGGTCTAGAATGCCTGGGCCCAGCTTCGGTCATCCCACGTCGGAGCTGATCCAACGTCGTTGAGTCGTAGGACAAGAACCGCCAAGGGCCGCCAAGTAGAGCCGGCGCAAACGGAGTCGCAATGGTGGGTAGCTAGGTCCTGACTGTAGTCATGCCATGGTAGGTATATGATACGCGCGAAGCATGGACAGGAGGCCGTAGGTAGAATAGTTGTCGCCTTGCCAGTTGATCAGGATGGGTCTATTTCTAGAGGATTCGGTATCGATGGTATGTAGGCTGGGCACGACTGCCAGGAACCCACATTCCAGCGTGAGTGAATGGTTGTAGCGGTTGCAGAAATGGCAGGATGGCCATCACATTCTTCGCTTGCAGTCGGAATAGACTTGCTTTTTCTTCTGCCCATGTCCGGGGCGGCACGGCGACGTTCGCCGGCAATCGTTGTCCGGAGGATGGAGATGTTTCCTACATCGCCCGCGCCGGCGGCTCGCGGTCGAACCCCGGCCCACCTTGTCCAGCCGTCCAAGTCTGCCTAGCCAGACCTTCTGATTTGCAAGATGGCGTTAGATGGTGTGAAAGATAGTGTACGACCGACGGCGCGGACGAACTGGTGTGGTAAAGGTCGGATTCTTGGCAGCGGACGGAGTTGGGCGAAAAGTGATTGAAAGTGGCGTGCCGTGTTGCCATCCGGTGTCGCCATCTCGCTCCGCCCGGCGGAACGCGAAGCCAGCGTCTGGCTCCGGCTTTCTTCGGGTTCGGTGATGGAGTAGACAACGTGTTTGGGTTGCAAGCATCTTCCATACGAAGAAGACTGATCAGCTGACGCGTAGGGAGGGTACACGTGATATCAAAGCTTGCGAAGAGTCAGAGCAGAGCCTCTCTCAGCCTCAGCGCTCGGAGATATACGATGAGTGGGTTTGGCATGTCGTTCCGGGGTGCAAGTAGGAGTTCGGCATCTGGAGAGGCGTTGTTGAAAGGATCACGTTGTTTCGGGTCTTTTTTTGTTGAGGTGAAGCCGAGAGTTGTTCCATTTGGGTGTACCTCCCCATTCGTATCCAGGCAAGTACCTATGCGTGGCCGGGAAGGTGCAACGCAAACGGCCAAACAAAAACATGACACCGCAGCGTATAGGCGTCCAGTCCCAGCGGCTCTCAGGCTCTCAGGGCAGCCAAGGCGCCATGATTCGCCCCCTTGCAACCAACTTACGGCGGATAGTCGCGGCGAGTCCGCTGAGGTGCGTAAGTACCAAGGCTGTGCATCTTGGCTGGCAAGATACCTCCACCCGCTGTAACCAGGTGCTGTGGTATCTGGACTAGCTGGAGGCAAAAGCCAAGAGAGAAGGAACCCAGTGGCCAAGAGATGACAGGCCAATCACACAACATGCTTGTACCAAAGACCCCATATAAAATGTGAAAATGTCTGTGCGTCTGGTTCGAGCATGTCCAGTAGCACGTGATGCATGCCCCCATGGCGCAGTTTAGACTGTCCATTGGTTTATCGCATCGAATAACTTTATTCGCCGAGAGGCGGCCAATGGCGTCACTGACATGAAATGGGTTCGTTCCATTCCATTGCCTTCGCAGCGAGAAAAGCTGCAGAGTCACACTCAATTTTTAAATATGTGTGCACGCTACAAACTTTCTGTCTGTTTGCAGCTGCAATGGTCCGTTCGTTTTATAGTCATGTTTCTGCTGTTTTGCATGGAGGCTCCAATGGCAGAACACCGTCCTCCTGCTACTGCAGCTCACGATCTGTTGGCCGCTTGACACAACTGGCCCATATGAGCAAGCAAATACCATACCTCCAGTCTCTCCTGATGAAGTTCCATTCTTTCGATAAGATGTCATAGAGAAACAACCTGCAACCTGCCTTGATATATCAATGAGTAAGGCAAGAGAGCAAATACTCACATTGCGTACCCCCGGGCCACCCTCCGGCCCTTCTCTCCAAAGTTCCTTCTTTCTAAGTACCTTATTATTAAAAAAAGTTAATTCTTTTTAAGTTATAAATATAAAAATACAGTTTTAATAAAATAGTATAGTATTTACTTAGTATTTAAATTAAAATACTTTTTTAAGCTCGCTATAAAAAAAAGATAATTATATTACTAATTACTTATTATTAAGGTTTATAACTAATACTATAGTTTTAATTATAATAGCTTTATTTATAATAAGTAAAAAGTTTAATTATAAATCCTTTAAAAGCCTCTTTTTAAGGGCTATAAGAGCCTCTAAGTTAAGTTAAAATACTTATTAAAATATTAATAACTAAACTAACTTTATAATAACGGCCTTAATAAAGAAATTAAAAAACGAATTAAGAAATAATATTAAAATCCTTACTAATATTAAATATAATTTATAAAAAATAATAACGTAGCCGTAAAGTATTAATAATATATTTTATATTAAAAAGACTATTATTAATACTAATAAAATAAATAGAGCTATATTAATATAATACCTCGGCTTTTTTTTATAGCTTAAAAACTATAATTTTAAATAATATTAAAAATTTATTAAAAAGCTTTTTTAAATACTTTAGTATATTTATTACTATTTTTATAATAATAAGACTCCTAGTACTTATATATAAGCGTAAGTTATTTATTTTTAAATAATAATATTAGCTTATTAATAAGTTATTAAAATTATAATTCTAACAATCCCTTAATAAGGGAGAGGGTAGAATAAAAGAAAAAATAAATAAAAAAAGGGTTAAGGTTAAATAGTGCGGAATTTGAGGGTAGGGTAGCGTCTATATATACTGCGGTAATCCTCTAGTAATACAAAACGATAGAGTTAAACAGTGGAGTTCCTTCCTTCTCCAGCGCCCCCTGCTCTTTCCCTACCTTAATCCATGCCCCACCACCGGACCCCACTCCCTCTGGGTGCCCCACTTCCGTCCACGCCGCTTCCTTCCGCCAAGAGCTCCGCCAAGGTCATCGTCACCCGAGGACCACCACCCAACCGGACCGTCTTTGCTCTCAGTCTCTCTTTTTTTTTCTGCCTTTTCCAATTCCAAACCAAACTTCTCAGGAAACTGGAACGGTCTCCAAAAGCCAAGAAGCTCACCACCCGCCAAGTTCAGCCAAGTCAAGCTTCCATGTCTACCGCCTTGGTACAACCACCAACGCCCAATCACACACTTTCAGTCGGCACAATGACCGAATGCCTTTTTTCTTTTGCAAGCTCTCGTGCCAATGTTCCCTTCACGACAACGCCCCTCTACGAAGGGGGAGGGGGGGCGTGTTATCATATGCCCAGACCTTGGCATCTTTCCCAGCTTTTTCTTTCTCTTTCTTTCACTTCCCCAGTCTGACGCTGATGACCTTGTGGGTTACGAGGCACAAGCTTCCAAACTTTTCGAAACCCTGCGCATTTCCAAGTCTACCAGTCTCCCGGCTGTCAGTCTATAAAGGTAGCCTTGTCCCCCCCTCAACCTTTGTCATCTCAAACTCTAGATCTGTCGGTCAGATAGCTTTCCCTCTCCTTCCTTCCAACCACACAACGGAAGAAGAAGCTTTTCCAAGGTTACCAAGCCAACCATCAACCATCCTCTCTGACCTCATCCGCGAGTGAGAGGCATCATCACTACAACCGCCTATCTCCAGCCTCGATTTGGCAAGTTCTACAGCTGATTCAAGCTTCTCTCCACCTACCACCCCGATCGTGAATGGAAACATCCTACATCGCATCAACGTCGCCAGCTCAGACACGACACAATGTCTGGTGACTACCCAAAACACCCCTTCTTGCTGACGGTCCAAGAGACCGCGCAGGCGCTCGGAGTTGACCCCGACAAGGGATTGTCTTCGCAGCAAGTCCAGCAGGCTTCGGACAAGTACCCTCCCAATGAGTTCGAAGTTGGCGAGTCGGTGCCATGGTACACAATTCTTAGCAAGCAGTTGTTCAATGCCATGGTGCTCGTTCTCGTCTTCGCCATGATTCTGAGTTTCGCCATCAACGACTACATCGAGGGCGGCGTTCTTGCCTTCGTCATTGTCGCCAACGTCACCATTGGTTTCTGGCAGGAATACCGCGCCGAGAAGCAGATGGATGCTCTCCGCACTCTTTCTGCCCCCTCTGCCAACGTTCTCCGCGACGGAAAGACCAAAGTTATTCCCAAGTAAGTATGCACAATGCGTCAACGCGCGGTCCCCCCCGCTTCCTCTCATCTTGGCTCTCTTGGCTCTTAGCCGCCTTGCTTGTTTTCCCTTGGCAAACATGCTAACCGTTGCAACAGCGCTGAAGTCGTCCCTGGTGACATCATCCTTCTCAAGATGGGTGATACAGTGCCTGCCGACATGCGCATGTTCGAGGCTATGAACCTGTCTTGCGATGAGCAGTCTCTTACCGGTGAAGCTCAACCCGTCGATAAGACCACCGAAGCCAACATCATGGTCCCTGGCTCTGAGAAAAAGGCCACGGAAGAGGGCGAAGTCGGTATCGGTGACCGCCTCAACATCGCATACGCCACAACAATCGTTCGCAAGGGCCGTGGTCGCGGTATTGTGGTTGCTACTGGCATGCAGACCGAGGTCGGCAAGATCGCTGCATCTACCCAAAAGAAGACGCGCAAGCCCGGTCGCTCCATGAACTACAAGAAGTACGGCAAACGTCAGCCCGTTGTTGGACTCTCTAGACGTGTCTACGATGCTGTTGGCAAGTTCTTGGGTCTCACTGAGGGTACCCCTCTGCAGAAGAAGCTGGCCGCTCTGGCCTACCTTCTTTTCGGTTGTGCCATTATCCTGGCCATCATTGTCTTCGCTGCTCACAAGTTCGATGTTACTGGCGAAGTCATCATCTATGCCGTTTCTCTCGGTATTGCCATCATCCCGGAATCTCTCGTCGCGTAAGTCCTGAGTACTTCTTTGCCAATCAAAGTCACCACTAACAGTAGCCTAACAGGGTCCTCACTATCACAATGGTTGTCGCCGTGACGGTCATGCGAAAGTCTAACGTCGTCGTCCGAGACCTTTCTGCTCTCGAGGCCCTTGGTGGTGTCACCAACATCTGCTCCGATAAGACTGGAACCCTTACACAGGGTGCTATGATTGTCCGCAAGGCTTGGCTTCCCTTCTCCCACACCTACACTGTCCGAGACTCGCAAAGCCCCAACGACCCGACCAAGGGTCGCGTCACCCACTCGGAGTCAAAGGAGCAGGAGAAGGTCGTCGATGAGGCCCCCAAGCGCGACTACGATCAGGAGCGATCTGCCGCTGTTCTCAAGTTCGATGTCCCCGAGGAGAAGCTTCAGAACAAACAGCCTGCGAAGGCGCCTGAGACTGAGAATGAGGCCGAGATGACCCCGCGCCTCAAGGCTTTCCTCCTGTCTTCCGCTCTCTGCAACCTGGCCACTGTCCGATACGATGAGGAAGAAGCCAAGTGGCAAACTACGGGCGAGCCCACAGAGATTGCTCTTCAAATCTTTTCACACCGCTTCAAGCTCGGAAAGAAGTCCCTCGAGGGCCTGGGCTGGAAGCAACTTGCTGAATTCCCCTTTGACAGCTCCATCAAGCGTATGTCTGTCATCTACGATATCCCCGAGAACGACGAGACTGCCGATATCTGGAGCCCCGAGAACAGTTTGGTCTTCACCAAGGGTGCCGTCGAGCGCATCCTTGATCTCTGCACCCACATCGGCTTTGGCGAGGACAGACAGGAGCTCACCGACGTCTTGAAAGAGGACGTTCTCAGCCAGATGAACGAGTTGGCCTCCCAAGGCCAGCGAGTTCTCGCCATCGGCTGCCGCGACTGGAATGGAAAGTTTACCACCAAGCAGGCTGACGTCGCCCAGGAGAAGGAAGATGCTCTGCGTACCGAAGTTGAACAGGGTCTTACTCTTCTTGGTCTCGCTGGTATCTACGACCCTCCCCGCCGAGAGACTAAGCCATCCATCGCCGAATGTTCTTCAGCCGGTATCAAGGTCCACATGCTTACAGGCGACCACCCCGAGACAGCCAAGGCTATTGCCAAAGAAGTCGGCATCATCCCCAAGAACCTGGGTGTTCTCCCCGACGAAGTAGCCAAAGCTGTTGTGCAGAAGGCCACGGATTTCGACAAAATGACTGATGCCGAAATTGATGCCATGCCCGAGCTGCCTCTGGTCATTGCCCGTTGTGCTCCCGATACCAAGACTCGAATGATCGACGCCCTCCGTCGCCGCAACGCCTTCATGGCCATGACTGGTGATGGTGTCAACGATGCCCCTTCCTTGGCTCGTGCTGATGTCGGCATTGCCATGGGCTCTGGTTCTGATGTTGCCAAGTCGGCCTCCAAGATTGTGCTCACGGACGACAAGTTCAATTCCATCGTTTCCGCCATTCGCCAGGGTCGTCGCATGTTTGACAACATCCAGAAGTTCATTCTCCATCTTCTCAGCTCTAACGTTGGTGAGGTTATTCTTCTGTGCTGCGGTCTTGCTTTCCGCGACGGTGCCGATCTGTCCGTCTTCCCAATTTCTCCTCTTGAGATTCTCTGGATCAACATGGTTACCTCATCCTTCCCCGCCTTCGGTCTGGGTCGTGAGCAGGCTGCTTCCGACGTTATGCGCAAGCCCCCTCAGAATAAGAAGCGCGGTGTCTTTACCAACCAGATCATCATTGACATGATTGTGTATGGTATCATCATGGGCGCCTTGACCCTGGCCACTTTCATCATTGTCGTCTACGGAGCCAACGGCGGAAACCTGGGTTCCGAGTGCAATAAGACCTTCACCGAGGCTTGTAGACCCGTCTTCCGTGCCCGCGCCGCTGTCTTTGCCGAGCTCACCTGGATCATTCTCATTTCTGCCTGGGAGTTCAAGAATCTTCGCCGCTCCATGTTCCGTCTCAACCCCGACAGCAAGAGCAAGTTCCCCTTCTTCAAGGACATTTACGGCAACAAGTTCTTGTTCTGGGCCGTCATCATCGGTGCCCTGTCTGTGTTCCCTGTCATCTACATCCCGACCCTCAACACCACACTTTTCAAGCACATTGGCATCACCTGGGAGTGGGGTATTGTCGTCGGATTCACTCTCCTGTACGTCGTTGGCGTCGAGGCTTGGAAGTTCGTCAAGCGCACCTTCAACCTTCTCGACGACCACCAGGTCGTTCGCGGTGCCTTCAGCCAGGGTGGCGAAGACGAGGGCCGCGACTTCAAGAAGACCATCACCTTCAGTTCTTTCAAGAGTTGGCACTCTTTCGGCCGCAAGGATACTGGCGAGTCGACTGGCCGCCGTAGCCGCTCCCAGCACCGCACCAACACCAACCTCTCGGGCGATACCCACACTGCTGATGCTTCCCCGAGCAACAGCAATGACGAGAAGGCGCGCATGGCGGGCGGTGAGTGCTGAACGGCGCAGCCTATTTTATTGTTTTTCTGTGATTTGATTCGCAAAGAGTTAATGATACCACTGTCACGAAGAGGATTTGCCGCATAGCGCAAGATCCATGATTTGACGGCCTAGTCAGAGGAGGAAAGAGGCAGGTCGTGTTCCAGGTGGAGGATGATTGTTTTGCACCCTTGAGAGGGCTTTTACACGGTACTAAGGATTAGCATCACGATGGATCGATAGACCGTCCTGATTTTGATAGGCTAGAATAATAATGATCTTGAAACAATCTTCGTCTGTCCAAAGTGAGTGCACATTAATCCGCATTTGAGTACAAGCGGCGGTGGATTAGAGCCTACACAGGTGACATTATATGTGAACATCTTAGATCTCCAGATCCGCTCGGAGGATCATGCAGAAAATAACTGGTCCTTGTGGAAAAGACTTTCATACAATTGCTGTGTGATTTCATAAATAAAAAGAGGACAAAGCACCAGCGGAAGGGTGGGCGAGTGCTCTTACTTCGAGAGCCCAGGTACTGTCACACCGGTACCCGCGGAGGTGGACCCGACCAGTCACCGGTCAGCGGGCACGGGGTTGGCCCGACTGGGAAACGGTGGCTGACGGCCGGCGAGGTGAATTGGCCCGGGCAGTCATGGGGGATCTCCGATTGTTTCCACGGACGTTTGGCGTCATTTGCCTTTCTCGAATCCGATTGACGGGATCGACGCCACGGATACGGATGACCCTTTTGGGGCTTGAATTGCGGATGCCTTGTTAAGCCGCGGATGATCCGCGGATCCGCCGTCTTGGTCAGCCCGCATGTTTCCGTGGCTATGGTTCATGTACCTGTGCTATGGTCCGAGTTCGTCCGCCTTGTCCGGATTAATCATCGCCGGCGCTTGCTGTTGACTGCATGTCGTTCGGCCCGGCGAGCAAGCTATGCCTGACTAGGGCTGACAAAGAGCAATACGACCGCTATGGCGCGCGTCCGCGCTTCTTGGCTTGCTTGGGCCTGAACCTTTGAGGTGAGATTGGTGAGACTCATATAAAAGTCCCATTTGCCCGGTACAATGTTGTTTCTATCACACTTGCTTGAGTCTTTGAACTAACAACAACTATCCGCAACCATGTCTGCAACTTCTGCCTTGAATATCCCTCCTTCAAAGTCGACGGTCTCTGTTTCCATCATCGACACAACCCTCAATGGCGACCTTCCCACGGCACCCTTCATGGGCCCTACCATGAACGGCTTCGAGAGGTGGTACGGCGTAGGCTACGCATTTCTGGTGACGCACCAGGACTCTGCTGGAAAGATTAGACGCGTAGTGTTCGATCTCGGTCTGCCGAAAGACTGGGACAATGACTTCTCTCCAGCTGTATTGGAGATGGGGAAGAACTTGGATGGCACGATGGTTGCCCAAAAATACGTTTCCGAAATTTTGACCGAGGGCGGTCTTGACTTGAGGGAGATTGAGGCGCTCTTCTGGAGGCACGTAAGCCATGTTTGCTTTTTTGTGCGCAACAAAAGAAACTTGAGAATGTGATGGCTGATATTGCCCATAGTCACGCACACCCGGATCACATTGGCCGCCCGTCACTCTTCCCCTCCACGGCATCGCTGATCGTCGGCCCAGGGGTGAAGGAGGCCTATTTCCCTGGCTACCCAACCATCCCAGACGCACCCGTCCTCGCTCGCGAGTTCGAGGGCCGCGAAGTGCGTGAACTAGACTTTGCTTCCACTCAGATTGAAATCGGGGGGCTCAAGGCGCTGGATTACTTCAACGACGGGAGTTTCTACCTCCTCTCGGCGCCGGGCCACGCTATTGGGCACATCAACGCCCTGGCTCGTACGACGGAGGATAGTTTCATGTACTTTGCAGGCGACTCCTTCCACCACAGCTCCGTCCTGAGACCGCACGGCGGCGCGACGCTACCAGAGGAAATACAGCTGCCGGGCCACAGTTGCTGTCCCGGACGGGCGTTTCACGCAGTCCACCCCGTGGCTGGTAACTCTGCCGCCCTGGGGCCCTACAGCAAGGTCCTAGGGGAGGCGGGGAGCGACGCGAATGGGATCCCGTTTCATGCGCTGCCTGAGGGTGGGATATTCATGGATTTGGAGGCTTCGAGGGAGACGGTGCGTGCTATTCAGAGGTTTGATGCGAGTCCGGATGTGTTTGTTGTGGCGTCGCATGATAGTAGTTTGGTTGGCGTTGTGGAGGTTTTCCCGGCGGATGGGAGTGAGTGGAGGGCGAAGGGGTGGAAGGAGGGTGGAAAGTGGGTATTTCTGAAGGATTTTGAGAAGGCGGTTGAGATGGCTAACTCTAACGAGAAGTTGCGAGGGTGATGATCATGGTATGTTTTAGTAGCTTTGTATTTGTAGACCTTCTCCTCTTTGATCCTATGTCTACTTCCATGTTGTCTGTGTTGCAGCGTATGCTGAACCTGATACCTAAGCCTCATTGTGATTATATTTTAGGTGTTCTCTTATTTTGACGTAGGCTGCCTCGATCACATTTACACCAGCAACATTGAAGATTCTTTGCCAACCAAATACTTCTGGTTCTTGATAGTCGATACAGAACCCCCATTCTCACTTGACGCGCCCATTGGTCTAACAAGTAAAAGAACATCCTAACGCTGGCTACGATAATTGAGGACGGTGCCAGCACCCAATCGGGGATGTTGTTGCGCTGGATGTCCAGCTCATAAACGCCGTCGATCGTGCCAGAAGGGCTAGCGCAAGCCTCGACGCGGTCATCGAAGAATTGTTTGAAGGCAATTCGACCGAAACACAAAGTCGGCGTAGTTAATGTGGCAGAATTTGGCCGTGGCTATGGAGGCCGGTACCGGTAGAAGAGTAAGACTTAATGGTTTCACTAAAGTAAGAAGAGGACATATAAGTTGGAATGTGACCCTATTGACTGCGCAGGACTTACAACTATTCCTGCTGCGTCGATTTCTTCTTAGAGACATGTTCATCGGATTAGAAATTCGACTACTCTTACCATTCGATAGAGGCTTCATCAGGATTTATAAAGGAGGGAGATGATTAATTAGTTCCCGTTAGAGTTAATAGGAAGTCGGAATTCTCTCGGGCCACCTCAAACATATATATGATCCAAAGGATTATGATATATTAGTACTAGATATTAGTTCGACGAAAGTAGTAAACGAGACTCGGGCGTAGATCGAGCTTCGTAAACAGCGAGCAATATATTTAGTAAAACACTAAGAGATCAAAGCTCTAGTCCTAGTTAATCTTAAATTCGTTATATAGCATAACTAATATAAAGAGATATAGTTATAAACAATCTAAATCTCGGACTTATCACAACACCTATTAACATTACAAAAAATGTAGTATCAAAGAAATTAATTTAATCATACAAAGCTTTATCAAATATTCTTTTCCGCAATTAATCCCGCCTAATTACGTATATAGGTAGACCTTTAAGCCAATTAGACAACGGTCCCCGGTCTTATTTACGCCCTTTAACTTATCAGTACTAACCCTTAAGGAGTAATTTAATAAACTAATAATAACCCCCCCTAGTTAAGGTAAGAGTCCCGTATATAATAATAAGTACTTAGTTATTAATAAATCCCTAGGTAAATTTTTAACTAATTAGGGGCTAAAAATATTTTACTATATAATCGCTTTATTACTAATTTAAATATTACGAGTTTTATATAATAAGGGAATATACTACTTTACGCTTTATTAAATTATTTTAAAAATATTTTTTAATTATATTTCTTCTTAATTATACTAAAATTCGCTTATTATAACTAGCTTTATAGAATTATTTTTATAAGACTTATTTATTATATATAATAATAATATTATTTTAATACTTTTACTTTAATAAAACGAATTTAATTTATTATAAAATATTTAAAAAGATTTAGATTACGATAGTATATTTACTTTATATCTTAATTTTTATAAATATTAAGCTCTTATTTATAAAAGGTTAATTAAACAAATAAGTATTATATAAATTAAACCTCTATACTAAATATTAATATAATACTTAGGTTATAAATAATAATTCCGATAATTATATTATTATTTTTAATAGCTTAAATATCCGTACTAAAACTTAAAATAACCGAGGTATTATTATAGTATAATAGTTTTAATATACGGCCAGTATACTTAAGTTTTTTCTAACTATTAATAATAGAGTTACGCTTATTATTTTAACTAAAGCCTTATTTATAAAAGAAATTAAGTAGCTATAGGATATAGTATATTTAACTTTCTATTTTTTAATATTAGGAATTATTAAAGAATAGTAAATTTAATATAATACTTAATAAAGTATTATTAGTTTTCTAATAACTAGTATTATTCTAAGAGATATACTTATAACGTAATACTATTATACTTATTAAAGTAGTAAAGCCTATCTATATATACCTTATAACGACTTTTATTATATAATTATTTTAAAAAACCTCGTTAAGAAATATAATATATTACGAAATAGAGTTAAGATATTTAATATTATAAAAAAGATTATTAAGTAAGTCTAGTTATCTAAAAAACATTTTAAAAACGTTTTAAAAACGTTTTAAGAACATTTCTAATCGTTTTCTTTTTAAATAAAGTATTATTTATGCTATATATACTAAATTTAAAAAAAGTATTATATATTAAAAATAGAATATAATATACTTTTTTAAACTAAAAAAAATATAATATAGTATATATATAAGATTACTTAATAAAATAATATAAATAACTTATAAAAAACTTAATAAGAGCTTATTAGTCTTTAGTAATAGATCTTAATATACTAAAATTCGTATCTTTTATAAAAACTTATAAATTACTACTTTTATCTAATTTTATTAAATTAGAAATATTATATATAATATATTAAAATAGCTATAAATAAAACGGATATATAATTTATAACAAAAAGGGGTTAAGAATACTATATATTTATATCGAATTATTAAAAACGTCCTATTTATAATAAGCTTATTAAATATTTTATTAAAAAATAAGGCTAAGTTATTACTAATTAGATAAAACTTATTTTAAACTACTACCTAAACTTAAAATAATAAAATATTTTATTAAATATCGATATTTTATTTTAAAAGATATTAAGATAATATTATTTATTATCTTAATATTTTATAATAAATATAACTATCCTTTACTATTACTAAATAAAACTCTAAAAACTATTATTTAAAGTATTTTTTAAGTTCTCTAAAGGATTAATAAACTAAGTACGAGTTTAAATACCTTTTTTTAATCTCCTTAACTCTAAGAATTCTTAACTAAAAATAAGGGGTAAATAATTATAAATATTTATTAAAGCCTTATAAAAATAGACTTTTTATAATATATTATTTATAAATAATAGATTCTTCTATTTTTTAAGAGAAGTTAGACCTTAGCTTTTATATTATAATAATAAAGAGAAGTAAATAAGTAAATATACGTAAGTTTCTTTATAAATATAAAAAATAGCTATTTTAATATTATAATAAATATATAGTATATCTAGTATATATACTAATCTAATACTAATTATATAGTTATTTACTTTTTTTAAAAATAAGCGGAATAATAAAAGTTCGATAATATAAAGTCGTTTATAGTTAATATAAACTATAAATATATAAAAAGTATAAGTTAATAAGAAATTATCTAAGGCTAGTATAGCTAGAATAGCGAAAAAAATATATTATAATATTAGAAATATTTCCGAAATATTTCTTAACCTTTATTCTAAAATTACTAATATATTACTTATAAAGCTTTATTTCTTATATAGGTCTATATAAATACTAAAACTATAAATATATACTATTATATATTTCGAGCTATATTTAATATTTTAAAGTAAAAGTATTAAGTTTAGGTTTAATAAAAATACGTTTATAAAACCGGCCTTTTTAGAATTACTTTAAATTAAGTAAATATAGTAATTAAGAGCTTAAGTAAATACTTTATTAAAAGGTTTAATTCTTAATAAATATAGCTTATATAAGTCTAAAACTATATATACTTATATTACGTATATTTTAAAAAAGGTATTAAAAAACTCCTAGGTAAAAATTATTCTCGTAGTATAAACTCTATTTATAATATATTAATATCTTTCTTAAAATATTAAATAGTACTTAACTATAACGAGCTATATAATACAATTTATTATAAATATTATATTTTACTATATATAGTTTATAATAAAAACATTTTAAAAATATTTTAAAAAGGGAAAACGTTTTTAAAATATTTTTAAAATATTTTTTATTAATACCTTACTTAATTAATAATAACTTATTATTTTATAAAAAACTTTTCGTAGTATATTAACTAGGTAAAATATAAACGAGAATTATATATTATAACCGGGTTTTATAATAAGATAACTAAGGTTTTTTTAAAAAACTAGCTTTTAATACTTAATAATATAAATATAGTTAAGATCTTTTATTTAGTTTTATATATTTAAACTAGCTAGTATTTCCTTTTACTTATTATAATTAATAAGTACGTATTAATAATTAGCTATTATAAGTATTAGCTAACTTTAATAATACTCGTAACTAAGATTAAAATTTAATATCGTAAGATTTTATAATACGTTATAAGTATATTATAACTTTATATTAAAATATTAGTATTATAAGCCGTTTTTAGTATTTAATATAACGTTAGAGTATATTTAAAATGCGCTTTAATAGATATTTATTAATTATTAAATTAAAAAAAAAAAATAAGAGATCGGGCTAAGAGTTTATAAACTAATATTAAAGAACTATTTTATACTTAATAAAAAACTCGTAAAGATTTAGTTATTAATTAATAAAATAGTTCTTAAAATAAGAATTTTAATAGCTTTAGTTTTAATAATTATAATAATCTTAATAATACTTAGTTTTAACGCGGAGTAAGTATTTTATTTTTTAAAATACTTTTTTTATTAAATAAAAGTTAAAACCCCCCGAGTTCTTTAGTACTTTATAGCGGTTTATAAAAATAAACTACCTAATTATAAACGTAAATAAGTATAAATTATTTTATATTTAAAAAATAATAAATAAGGGTTAATAAGATTTAAGAAAATAAAGAATAAAAAGAATAGGAGTTTAAGCTTAAATAAGAACGTAAAGAGCGTAAGTTTTTAATAAACTAGGCCTATAAAAAGTATAAGTTTATTATTAAATAAAATTACTTAAATAGGGTAATAAAAGTAAAAATAGTACTTAATTAACGAAAATAAGAATAAGAAATAAGCTAATAAAATAAAAGCTTTTAAAATATTTTTATATTTTTTTTTTAACTTTATTTTTATTTAAGTAATTTAAAATATT